AAAAATGTTTTGTCAAAATCAGTTAAAATTTTTTAGTTAATATTATTTGAGCAAGCATTTTATTTATCTCTATAATACTGCACTTCAGTTAGTTTCACAATTTTCAACCATGTGAAAGTTATCAATTTATTCTTTTTTTTTGGTTTTAGAGACAGGGTTTCTCTGTGGCTTTGGAGGCTGTCCTGGAACTCACTCTTGCAGACCAGGCTGGTCTCAAACTCACAGAGATCTGCCAGCCTCTGCCTCTGTAGTGCTGGGTTTAAGGGTGTGCACCACCACTGCCTGGCTAATTTAATCATTTTTATACATTAGTATAAAATTAATGAAAGAAATATATCAGAATGAAGAGATTTTTAATCATTTTTATTAGCTTCTTTTTAACAATTACAGCAGTGGGTATTGTGAATAGAATCAATGTTCAAATTATGATGCATAATTTAACACTTTGGTAAACTTATTCAAGTATTTATTTTATGTATTATGCAAAAATTAATTTCTTTCCTGAAATTCTTTTAATACAAAGTAAGTTTAATAAAGGTGAATTTTCTGTCCTGCCTGGTCCTGTAGCCATTTGGTCCCAAATAAATATACACAGGCTTATAATAATTATAAATTGTTTGGCCAATGACTCAGGCTTCTTACTGGCTATCTCTCTTTTAATTATTAACCCATAACTATCAATCTGTGTTTTATCTTACTGGAAAATGCCCAGGCATCCCACCTTCCCAGGAGCTACATGGAGTCTCCCTGGTGGCTCCTCTTTCTCTCTTCCCAGCCTTCCTAGTCTGGTAGTCCCACCTATACTTCCTTCTTTGCCACCGAACAATCGGCATTTATTCATTAACCAATAAGATAAACATATATTCACAGAATAGAGAACAATATCCCCCATCATCTCCTCTTCTAAATAAAAATAAGGGTTTTAACTTTAATATAGTAAAATTATATAAAACAAAACAGTATCAAGCAATAATTATAGTTATAATATTTAGTACACTACCATTTGGTAAAATGGTAAAGAAAATATTCTATTATTGACCCTATCTTTGTGAGTCTAAATTTTTATATGTAACTTATCTTTTATTTTAACTAAGGAAAACCATAACCATAACTGTCTTCAACTCCATCAGAGACCTCAGAAGGATAATATATAAATTCTAGAATTGACAGAGATATCTCACCCTGCCTGGACAGTCACCCAAAGTTCTTCTGTAATGTTGACACATCCATATTCAGCCTATAGGCATATAGGATCAGGCAGACTTCACAGCAAAGCAGGAAATTGAAACTGTCCACCAATATTGGCAGTTTTTCAGTCATTTTTCTTTGTGTTCTGAAGAATGTCTGGCAGAGTCTTCCATGAAACAGGAACCCTGCAAGACTGTCCCATCTAATTTGGGAAAGCTCAGCAGCCACTTTCCTGTGGGTTCTACAAGTCTAGTTTATACAGCATACAGTCAAACAGTCCATGTAAGATCAGTTTTTTGCCCAAATGGCTAGTTTAACAATATTAAAAGCATACTCCACAAAGAGCTTCTTTGATACCCATTATCCTCTTGAAGTAATTGGTTTTGCCAGGAGCAGTTGTGTCTCATTGTCATTAAAAGCCCTAATAAACCAATTTGAATGCCATATTCTGTAGGTCTTTGAAAGATTTAGAAGAATGCCTATGCATTTGAAATATACCTCTGTATATCTAGAAAACCTAATTAACAGAATTTTGAGTATTTAAGTGAGTATCTATAATCTGAGTTTAACTATATATTACTTTTTAAATGAACTGTATAAACACAATACCTAAATAGGTATAGAAATATGCATGTTACCAAATTGACCTTAAATTTGTGTCAATAAACAAAAATCAACACAATGACATAGTTTCCAGACTCTCTGTGTATTTTCTATCTCTATGTGGCTTTTTTTGATTACTCTATCTTTTACTTTTATGTTTTGTTTTTTGAGACAGTGTTTCTCTATGTAAATTTGACTGTCCTTGATCTCACTTTGTAGATCAGGCTGACATTGAAACCAAAGAGATCCATCTGCCTCTGCCTTCCAAGTGCTGAGATTAAAGATGTGTGCCACCATTTCCAGCTACTCTATTTTAAGGACTTTCTCTATCCTTTTTCTTTTCTCTCCAAACATTACATGTATTTTTAAACACACTATAAGCCATTTAGAGGGTTTTCTTTTTCTGAATCTGTGTTTACTTTATATCTCCATCTTTTTCTGACCACATGATTCTATAATCTGCTAAGCAGGATGACTAAAATTAAAGCAGCAGTTATATGTTGGCTACACCCAGTTCAGCTTTCCAACTTGGTGGGGGTACTTTTTTTGCCAGCTCTGGGAGCTATGCTCACCCCCTCAACTCTTGTCTATGATGTCATCAAGAAGCTTGTAGCACATTTGCCCGTAATACTTCTTTGTCTGTATGAGTAAAAGCTAAATCTGGAATGCAGCATGCCTTTTGGCTTGGAGACAAAACCTCTATGTGCCACAGCAGGAAGCTGCCATACTGTGCTCAAGCCTGATTGCCACAGCATCTCTAAACCATAGCTTGCATGATATTATGAGTCTAGAAAGTCCACTGAGGCTCAGCATCATATGGAAATTCTTGCCTCACATTGGGTGCCATTTGAAGACAGTATTTCTGGCCTGCCTAAACATATATTAACAGCTTACAAAGGGCATCCTCCAACAGTTTAATATGAAAATTTTAAATCATTTATGGCATGCATCCAGCAAATACTTGAATGATAAATACTGTTTTGTTTAGTATATGAAAGAGCATAATAAGCTACAGGTTGCTAATGAGTTTATTATCACTTTGAAGTTCCAAATATTTTTGAATACATCAAAAACAATACAAAGTTCTTCTCTTTCATCCTGGATATAATTGACTCTGTTGGGTTATTTTTTTGTCTAATTGTAGGCAGATACCCTAGACCTGCCCAATGGCAACCCAGACAGGTGTCAGGTGGACACGGGACTCACCCATAAGGGCAGGGGGAAGGGAAGCCAGGGTGACATAAGGGAAGGTTCTTAAGGGCTGCACGTGGTGACCCTGGACCCTTCTCTCTGGCCATGCTAGCTTGGGTCCTGTGAGCTCGCTCTGGCCTGCATTTTGCTCTGGTGTTTTTCCTGAATAAAGAAATCTTACCATCAAGGACTATAGGTCATCTCTGAGTGCACACGGTAATCCTAAGAACTGGCACCCAACATGGGGACCAAACCAACGACCCTGAGATTAAGAGTCTCATGCTCTACCTACTGATATTTTGGCAAGCTTCTATTAATGATAAAAGGCCTCAGTTACTGGTAAAAATTAATGGCAATGATATTAAAGGTCTTTTAGACACTGGAGCTGATGTAACTATTATCACTCAGAAAACTTGGCCTAAGAAATCGCCACTTAAAGAGGCAAATGTACAATTTTTAGGAATTGGAACTCTATCTAGAGTTCAACGGAGTGTTAACTCAGTGGTCTGTATTGGACCGGAAGGACAAAAAGGAAGACTGAAACCTTACGTAGCAGATATTGCTATAAATTTATGGGGTCATGATTTATTACAGCAATGGAATACTCAAATTAACATTCCTCCAGTGTCAGATACGAATTCTAGAAAATCGCTGGATAGTAGAAAGAATCAGGTAAGATGCCATGGAAAATGGTTACCAACTATCCAGGCTGTATAGACACTAAATACAAATGACAGGCCTTCAGAGGAACCAAAGGCCCTATCATTGAAATGGCTTACAGATGAACCGGTCTGGATAGGGCAATGGCCTTTCACCTTGAAAAGCTTGAGGCTCTAGAAAAGTTAGTACAGGAACAGCTAGAGGCTGGTCACATAGAGCAATCTACCAGCCCTTGGAATTCTCCTGTATTTGTCATCAAGAAGAAGTCAGGTAACTGGAGAATGCTGATAGACCTGAGAGCCATAAATAAGGTAATTCAGCCTATGGGCGCTCTACAGCCTGGAATGCCATTGCCTTCCTTAATACCTAAAGGATGGCCGATCATAGTAATTGACCTTAAAGACTGCTTTTTCACTATACCATTACAAGAAAGCGATAAAGAGAAATTTGCATTTACAGTGCCAACTCTTAATAACTCACAGCCAGTTCGGAGATACCAATGGAAGGTTTTTACCTCAGGGGATCCTAAATAGTCCCACCTTGTGTCAACAATTTGTACAACAACCTTTGGAAATAATTCGTAAAAAATTTCCACAATCTCTTGTTTATCATTATATGGATGATATTCTTTTATCGGATTCTAATGAGGAAACTTTAGAACGTATGTTTGAAATGGTGAAGGAGATTCTGCCTAGATGGGATTTACAAATTGCCCCAGAAAAGATACAAAGAGGAGATTCCATTAACTATTTAGGATATAAGATAGACTTACAAAGAATCAAACCTCAAAAGGTACAAATTAGAAGGGACCGTTATAAAACTCTTAACAGTCTTCTGAAGCTACTAGGAGACATTTCTCAATTACAGACGATTATTGGTGTGGAAGGATATGACTTAAAGCATTTAAAAATGGCACTAAAAGGTGATAAGGACTTAAACAGTCCATGAATATTATCTGCTGAGGCAGAAAAAGAGCTACAATGGGTAGAAAACAGAATATTGGATGCGCATGTAGATCGGATAAACCTTGATCTAGATTGCATTCTGGTCGACTTTTTGGGAACAATTAGTAACAACTATCCCAAAACCAACAGATTTAAATTAATAAAAAAGACAGTTTGGATTCTTCCACGCATTGTAAGACAAACTCCCATTTCTGGAGTTCTTACTTCTACACTGATGCTAACAAAACAGGTAAGCCTGGTTATAAAGCAGGTGAGGTAAGTAAAAATAGTTCAAATTCCATATACATCTGTACAGAAAGCAGAATTATATGCAATTCTCATGGTGCTTATGGATTTTACAGAACCTCTTAATTCGTCCCTGATAATACTGAACTAACCTCGTTGTTCTTGCAGTTACAGGAAACAATCAGAAACAGAAGTAACCCACTGTACATTATACATATCAGATCCCAAATGGGTCTGCCAGACCCACTGGCACAAGGCAATGATGAGATCGATCATTTATTGATTGGCCTTGTGCTAGAAGCCTCAGAATTTCATAAAAAGCATCATGTAAATAGCAAGGGTTTAAAGAAGGACTTCTCTATCAGTTGGCAACAAGCCAAGGAGATGGTCAGAAACTGTCCTACTTGTTCCTTTTATAACCAAACTCCACTGCCAGCAGGATGTAATCCTAAAGACCTTCGGAGGAATGAGATCTGGCAAATGGATCTCTTTCACTTTACAAATCTGGAAATTTGAAATATGTGCATCATACCATTGACACATTCTCAGGTTTCCAATGGGCTACTGCTCTCAACTCTGAAAAAGCTGATTCCGTTATTACACACCAACTGGAGGTGATGGCAGTTATGGGTATACCGGCGCAGATAAAAACTGACAATGCTCCAGCATATGTCTCCACAAAAATGGAACAGTTCTTCAAATATTATAACATTAAGCATGTCACAGGTATACCACACAACCCTACAGGACAAGCAGTTGTTGAAACGTCTAACAGGACACTTAAGGAGATGCTCCATAGGCAAGCTGGTAAGTCGAAACCCCCCAAACATAGATTGCATTAACACTAAACTTTCTTAATGCCAATGACAGTGGACAAACAGCTGCCGAAGACACTGGACTATGGAAAAAACTGCTGAACTGAACCAATCAGTGTATTTCAAAGATGTACTGACCTTGGTATGGAAACCCAGACATTTGTTACCTTGGGGTAGGTGTTTTGCATTTGTCTTCACAGGAGAAGAAAATCTTTGGCTACCATCAAAAATGATCAAGATTCGAGTTGAGGAAGACATCCCTCTCAACAAGGATGACTGACAGGTATTTACTGAGGTATATCTCATGAACTAAATAAAAGCCTCCCAAAGGATGGGAAGGGATTTGTTTTCATCCTCACAGGAAAACCCACCTCTGGAAGTCAAAGGACACTACATGTGTAGATACTTAAGGAAAGAACGTAGCTATAACCATCGAACAAAAGGAATGTGCCATACAGTAAAATTTACAGCTGTCTCTCAAATAACTCTATTTCTTCTCATTTCCTAGTCCCTATTCAATTAAATCCATGCTTGATTTAGAGTTGGATTTGGCTTTCCTACCCTAAAATCCAAGCATGTTATTTAACAACATTTTAAAGTTTCTGTGTTATATCAAGAAGAATAAGAGGACTATCTTTGTCTTTTCTTGG